TGCACAACAGTCGTTCAACCACAGACGGATCAATCATAGAAGAGAAAATACATGAGAAGTCCAGATCAGATTTGCGCAACGGTGCGACAGACTAACACATCATCTTCATTCGCGGCGGGGAACTATAGTAACTATTCACTCAATAGTTACTATTACTTTATTACGTATACCTGTGTTGGTCATTAATCTAACTGAATCCCCTCACACATTCAGTTTATGATTTATCATGAAGTTATACTGTAAGTCTATTCTCATACACGATAACATCACTTTCAAACAAACATGGTGCAGGCTGAACACACAATATAAGCCATTCTTCGACACGATAACATTGCTTTCAAGTAAACATGGTAGAAGCTCCTTTGTTGCATCTTTTGTAGCGTCTGTTTAGCTACTTTTTATGCTTCTTACCATCGCTTGATTTCCAGCAATCCGTTATGCTCACAATTGTTAATAGGTTGGAGAAGAAGTTCTGAGCAGAAGCTTGTAAAACATTTATTTATGCACCTCTTACACCCGAACAATGACAAAACTACTAGTCAAGGTACTCCCTTACTTCAAGCATTTCCTGGCACTTCTCCGGCAAAAGATCGATTCCGCGAGCAGAAATTGATTGATTAGTTGATTGGTTGATACGTTCACTTGCCACCGTTGCATTTGAACCCAACAGCCATTCGTGAATCATCAACAACCTAATTTGCTCGCTTGTTAACTTTATCTTGGTATAAGTAGATAAATTATATACCAATCAATGCAGGAGAAGACGGGCTTCCAAATGAGCCCAAAAACACAAAAAAATGGCAGACACCCAAAAAAGTTACAAGCATTTTCTCAGAACTTTTTCCTCAACTTATTATCTACGATACTGCTTCTGTTTTCGGTTACTGTTTGTCATCAGTCCGTAGGGTTCAGATGCTACTGATTTCCTCTGGGCAATACTCCGCTGATTTCGTGCCGTCCAGTATTTCAGATGATCGTACAACTTCATATCTACTCGCTCAACTATATATCGCCAGCCTACTTATACTGTAATGTCACTAACGCTATAAACAGTTATTATAACTATTATTACTTATTAGCTATTATATTTTATTAATTATTATAACTGTTTATAGCGTTAGTGACAATACAGTATAAGTAGGCTGGCGATATATAGTTGAGCGAGTAGATATGAAGTTGTACGATCATCTGAAATACTGGACGGCACGAAATCGGCGGAGTATTGCCCAGAGGAAATCAGTAGCATCTGAACCCTACGGACTGATGACAAACAGTAACCGAAAACAGAAGCAGTATCGTAGATAATAAGTTGAGGAAAAAGTTCTGAGAAAATGCTTGTAACTTTTTTGGGTGTCTGCCATTTTTTTGTGTTTTTGGGCTCATTTGGAAGCCCGTCTTCTCCTGCATTGATTGGTATATAATTTATCTACTTATACCAAGATAAAGTTAACAAGCGAGCAAATTAGGTTGTTGATGATTCACGAATGGCTGTTGGGTTCAAATGCAACGGTGGCAAGTGAACGTATCAACCAATCAACTAATCAATCAATTTCTGCTCGCGGAATCGATCTTTTGCCGGAGAAGTGCCAGGAAATGCTTGAAGTAAGGGAGTACCTTGACTAGTAGTTTTGTCATTGTTCGGGTGTAAGAGGTGCATAAATAAATGTTTTACAAGCTTCTGCTCAGAACTTCTTCTCCAACCTATTAACAATTGTGAGCATAACGGATTGCTGGAAATCAAGCGATGGTAAGAAGCATAAAAAGTAGCTAAACAGACGCTACAAAAGATGCAACAAAGGAGCTTCTACCATGTTTACTTGAAAGCAATGTCATCGTGTCGAAGAATGGCTTATATTGTGTGTTCAGCCTGCACCATGTTTGTTTGAAAGTGATGTTATCGTGTATGAGAATAGACTTACAGTATAACTTCATGATAAATCATAAACTGAATGTGTGAGGAGATTCAGTTAGATTAATGACCAACACAGGTATACGTAATAAAGTAATAGTAATTATTGAAAGAATAGTCACTATTTTGGAAAATTTTGTATCAAAGAGAAATTTCGCTGAACTCGAAAGCGACAACTAGTTCATAGCCGCTTTTACAATCGCCCATTTACAAAGTTAAATATGATTTGCCCTAACAGCAAAGATGGTGATCACATGAGCTTCGACGGTGCGTCTAATCTCTTGTAACTTACTTGGAGACGAATCCTCAACGAAACAAGATCGCCCTGCGCCCACAGAAAAATTGCATAGACAGTACATTTTGAGTTAAACAAAATACTCTAATAGGTGCGTATAGACATAAGACATAACAGAGGTTTTCAAAGAACAAGTCAAATTTTACACACACGAATCTAAAGTACTAGGTCATAAAACTCGAGGCATTCTAGAGAATTTGCAAAAAGTAAAGACGAATCATAGTAGCAACGTCATTTTATTACACGAAATAATCTCCACAATGTAAAAAATTGATGTTTTAGTTGGAATATTCTTTTAAGAAGATTTGACGATTTGCAAAAATCCAACTTCAGTCACAAGCTGAACTCGTGTTTCACTCTTACATAGAGCGCTCTTCCACTACAGCACCAAGGCCACCGCTTTGCGGTCAGTCTTTCTTCAACAGGAACTGCAGAAGCTGTCGGCAACCAATTCATAAAGATTTGGTCCGGTAGGAACATTTCCGCGCTCTTATAGGTTAGGAAGCCACATGGACTATCTAATAAACTCTGTTTAGCTGATCTACATCAATAGGTAGAATGCTCACAGAAAGACTTGACTTCTTTAAAAAACTGCCTAGCCAATGAAAATTGGGTTTTGATTCTTCGCTGATATTATGTGAAAATTTAGCGAGTTTTGACTAGAAACGCATGTGATGTGCAACCGGATTCCAGCGTTACATTACATTAAAACCAATGTGACCCAAATCCGCTTTGCCAAAGGCGAACGAATTCGTAATAGACGTAAAGCCACAACATATAGAGCAATAAATGATCGACAAAAAAGAATGCATGCATAGATAGTCGGCTTTTTTTTTTCGAAAGTATAACTTCTACACTCTGAATAGGGGCAAGCACATCAAAACATTTTTCCAATAGCGAAATTAGTGTTTTGGGTTTTTTAGCACATTGAGGCGTACGAAGAAGAAACAATGACAATATGAGAAGAAATGCAACTGATTCAGTTTTGACAATAATGAATGAACTTCACTAACAGTTGTTTTTCAAGCTTCACTGTACCGCTACACATTTCATGGGAGATCCCGCCTATTTGTACAATCTTTTGTACTTGGATTCGGATATAGTAGTGGAATTGAAAAAATGACCTCCTCCAGTACAGATCAGAGCGATAGTATTCTTTGAAAGCAGTCTATATGGTGGTCAAGCACGATGGGCCATTTCTCACAAATTAAGCATGAAAATCTACAGTTTTGATCAAATGTCTTCAAAACGAGCGACGTTTTTACACATCGAATACGCTTGACGAGCTTCCTATGACTTTTATTTTAGATTGATTCTAATCAAAATACCACGAAAAATGACCAAAACATCACGGGTTCTCTAAAAGTGCGCCGAGCAACTTTGATTGAGAAACATTATCTATCGTTATTGAATTCGGTAACTTCACGTTTGATGTGAACCATATCCGTTGCGAGCATTTTGTCACATACTAAGCTTACTGCTGAGTCAGAATAAGCAAAAATACAAAATAGAATGATTTTTCTCATACAAAACAATTTTTTACGAGAATAATAGAGTTGAGAAGTGTTAGTGAGAATTCTTTACGTCTTGGAGCTAGAAGCTTTTTGATTGTGTACGCAATGTCATGAAAACAATTCTTTAGATGTAGCGAGAAGTTTGTAGATTGTGAAGTTGTAGTTGCTCTCTAGGATCGCTTGCACAACCGAAAATAATGTTAGCTTTATGTCTACTCAAAAATTCAACTTGGCAGCGATAGTTTCTTCAAGTGTCTTTGTTTTCTACATTTATACAGCAGTAACATCACGTAAATTATGCGATAATTCAAAATCTACGGCGATTTCCGAAGGTTTTGCTGAACAAAAGCTTCGAATGCCAAATGGAATTTATGAAACGGACAAGGAAAGAATGTTAGTCGTTCATTCACGACACCTTATTTGCATATACTATCGACATTCAAATATATGCAAAGTAACTATTGATATCATTCACAGCACGTTTATTCGACAACGTGTCAACATGAGGGTTTTTGTGGCAATCGCCACCACTGAGTACGAGCAAGGATTGTCAACGTATGGATTTGCACTAACTGCCATACTAGGGCAAGTGTCAGCGTTTCACTGTCATCATAGATATCTTGGTGTTGACACCAACCGATGCGGGCTGCAATTGTTTCCTGAGGTCGACAGCGTAAAGATAATCTTCGATCTGCTGAAGCCTGATGAAACACACGAACCGCCCGTTTCTAATGCACAATGCCAAGCTATATAATGCCGTGCAGATGGAAAATAAATAAACCTACTTCTGAGATCGCTATGAAACCAATTGACGAACAGTTCTCCGCCCATCGAAATTATCCATTTTTCGTATGGCTTCTCTGAACGTATTCTCTCGACCACTTCCTCAATAATTTCATATGCAGTTGGTTGTGGTTGCTTTGGCTATTAATGGAAGAGGTTAGTAACAAAAGGTAGAGTAACAAATTTACGACAGCTGAGTTTTTGTTAGACGACGTGAGTCGCCAGTGTAGCACTTTAATAGCTCACCGTAACATTTTTCTCAGTGAAGGCTTTCTCGAGTCACTGAGTGCTTCTTTTTTTGCTCAGAAATTGGGATAAACTGGAGCAGTATTGCAAATCAGTTTCATTGAAACCGATGACCTAAACTAACACAGGCGCGGTGTGAGATTTTCTAGCTTTGTATAAGTGTTTGAATTATTCTTAACACATGCTCTTTCATCGATCATATTAGTAACAGTCAACTTATACCCAATAATGTGGAGTGCTGTACAAAAATATCTGCGTCAGCAAGGATATGAACCCAGGTCTCACTCTTTCCGGGAGCGCGTGCTGAACCGTTTCACCACCGACGCTGGTGCGTCAGCCGGGATCCTGGGCGTCGGTGGTGCAACGGTTCAGCACACGCACCCGGAAAGAGTGAGATTTGGGTTCGAATCCTGGCTGACGCAAATGTTTTTGCACAGCACTCCACATTATTGGGTATACTAATAACATCATACCATTGCTAGTGGCAGTAAAATAGAACGAAGTCAACTTATAGCTCTACATATGATTTGTCATCTTGTTGCATTGGAATAGCTCGTTTCCTTCAGGAAACACGAGGAGAAGATGAGAGAAATCACGATTGCTGAACTGTTTACTCCCTGTCAAGTCTCATTAATCGTCTGTGGGGGGGATCGGCCAGAAGAGATGTTGCTATTGCGGAGAATGAATTAGGTTGGAAACCAAGTTCTGTCGGATTCTTTTTTTGCTGTTTTGTCTATTCACAGTAAATTTCTTTTTTGCGCATTTTATCGTCCCTTATGTTATTCGAAAGCCCGTGATCTCGAGATTCTATATGTGAGTGTCATTTTATTTTTTGTAACTGTGTAAAAATTTATATTAGGTTAACAATTAGGTTTTGTTGTATTTTCATGTCATCTTTATTTATTTACAGTATACTCATTCTTGGCCTTTGAACCATTTTATTTTTTGTAATTGTACGAAATTTTTTTTACTTTAGAATGGACACTTCAAAACTTGAGTTGTAAACATCTCTGGAACGTTCCACTCGAGTCATTTTGCTACCGAAGTGACACAAAACTATGTAGAGCACTTAAACCCAATGTGGTTAATTGAGATCAATCTACGGACTACACAAAAATTGCTCATAAAATTTCGTGAAGGCGACGCCAACACGCCAAAATCGACTGCGACAGCTCTATCGAAACGTCCTCAAGACAAGGCACGCCCGCGTATTGCTCGTCGGACATTGGAAAAAATTGTAGAATTAGGTTGAGAACGTCTAATTCACCCACCTTATAGCTAAGTGATGCTCCAAGTTATTACTATCTTTTCAGGTCTCTGCAGCATTCTTTAACAGGTAAACTCTTTGAAAGAACCCATGGTGTGATAAAGCAACTGCATTCATTCTAAAGTAAAAAAAATATATAGCTAAGAAAAATAAAAGGGCATACACCGTTAGAATCTCGAGATCACGAGCTTTTGATAGACATTGAGGACGATAAAAAGGTCAAGAATTAATTTTTTTGGTAAACAAATAAAAATAATAAAAACCTTTCCTTCGAGTGCTTCATTAAGACCACGCTCAAATTTCAATAGATCCTTTCATTATTATTTGAGCCAACATGTCATGTGGTCTGGTAAAGGCTCTTGTACAGCCCGAGACACGTGTTTCGTCCTTACAGACTCATCAGCCAGGCAGAACCCGTCGTCTGTCGATCTTTTCATAGTCAGTTCTCTCGGGAGTGTCACACTCCTTATGTATAGTTATCGACGACCTACGCTTCACACTCTTTGTCAGGTGAAACATTCACCTAACACAGAGTGTTTTCGCACTCGATTGCTAGCTGGCTGGTATTTTATCATATTATACCTTTCCTTCGAGTGCTTTATTAAGACCACGCTCTAATTTCAATAGATCCTTTCATTATTATTTGAGCCAACATGAGAGAACTGACTATGAAAAGATCGACAGACGACGGGTTCTGCCCGGCTGATGAGTCTGTAAGGACGAAACACGTGTCTCGGGCTGTACAAGAGCCTTTACCAGACCACATGACATGTTGGCTCAAATAATAATGAAAGAATAATAAAAAACGACGGAGCTTCATTTTCATCCTAATGCTTGAGATCTTCAAATAGGCCTAACACGTTCCCATCCGAAATACCATTTTACAGTGCAGTACAATGTATAATTGTTATGCATCAGTGTTCTATCATTGATAAAAATATGTTCCATAGCAGAAAACAGTGGAAGGCTGGAATCGTTATGGCACAAGAGAGATAAAGATTAACTAAGTTTTTGAGTGACATTGATACAGCTTGACCCATACGGATTAAACTATAATCCACAACACTATTGCAAACACAGTCCTTCAGGGAATTATGTGACGCTTTTTTGGCAATGAGCAGCGGCTTCTTCAGTACAAAGATTTTTCTTCCTAGTGAAAGAACTATGACAAAAAATGTTTGGTGGAGACCGTAGAATTCACGCGGTTTGGTAATGCGCCGCTTTCACATTAAAATATATCTGCACTGTTGTACGAGATCACGGGAGAAAACAAGGTATTCCGTCTTTGGTCCATCTTTGAATTTTCTGAGTTTACTCGAAAGCCATGAGTTTGATGCACCACGTTAAACATCTTTATGCGAGGAAGACGAGTTATACTTCAAATAAAAAAGATCAAAATCTTCTCATTGTACCTCTATGTCTTATTCACACCTTGATGAGGAACCCAGCTAACTTCAGCTTTACCAAGCAGATATCCCAGCATACGAACACGTAATGGCCTACCCATTTTGCCACAAATTCGACCTGTGTGTTTACAATAGATAGGTATATCTTTACTCGAATCGAACTCGTGCGACCACCGTCTCTACCGTTAGGGCATGTTATGTAATTTTCCGTCATGCAATAGACTGTGCAAGCAGCTACGAATTAGCGGACGTATCAAACTGCTCAGCAGCATTTCAATCACTGTTACCGGCTTCTCTAAGCCGATACTCCTTAAGTATCGTTTTGTGATCGTGTTACTTTGTACAGAATAAAAAGCAGTATGAATGGAACTTTATTCTCGCAAAACTTCCTAGTTGCGATATGGGTCCTCCTCTATACACATCTCAAGCGGCTATTGTTTCTTTATCCATTGGAGACTGCTGCTTGTCGTGTCGGATTAAATGATTTCTACCTGGTCTCTTCGTGCCCAAAGTGGTGGCTAGGGAGTACATGTTTTTCACAAGGGCCTTTCTGTTGCGGCGGTTCAGAGGCAAATGTACTGATAAAGTTAATATTCAGTTTCACTAGCTCGAAACAGAGCGCTACCTTTGCGAACTCCTCAAACTTCGGTTAAACCCTTTATTGTAAAGAAAACAGTATGATAATAACAACAGAGGAATGACTAGACTGCATACATTTGGGAGTAAGAAGAGAAACACCTCAACAATGGCTTGAACGAGAATGTCAACCGAAAGTGAGCACCAGATGACTGAGTAAGCCGCTTATGTTTGTTTCATAATGGGCGAAGCGTCAACAAAAGAAACTAGAATTAATACTCCAACAGGCATTCTACAATGCTCCCAGCTACTAGAATCAGCTGAAGCTGTTAAGAAACGAAGTACGGTGCAAACGTAGAAGCTTATAAATTAAGACGACATACGAGAACCTTAGTCTGAATTATGTTTGCTATGCAGCATAGGGATGCGTACATCCGACAATGATGAAATAACGTATTTAGAAAATTTACGTATGAGGCCCATAGCTACTGCAAAAAGCTCATATAAATAATGAAGAAGAAGCACAACGACATTGTAATGATAATAATTAATAATAATAAGTAATAATAATAGACAATATTAATGAATAATAATGATAAATAATAATTGAGTTTTTGTTCACCACTCAATTCTCTTAGCTATATAAGTAACATAATAACACTGCGAAAAAAGCAGTGAAAATACTATAATTTCGAAGTATTGGTAATTAGAATAGCTATCAGCTCAACTGGGTTTATAAAGCGATATCGCATACCCGACCAAACCTGTCAAAGAATGGTGGCTGATAGCTAACATTGAGATGTTGAAGAATGAGTGGTCGGGCAAATGTGCCTCAGTGGTGTAGTGGTAGAGCACTAATAAAGAATAATAATTTATAATAATAAATAACAGTAATAAGTAATAGTAATAATTAATAATAATAAATAATAACAATAAGTAGTAAATCAAATAATAATGAACAGTAATAATAATAAATAACAATAATAAAAAATAATCAAATAACAACATCATAATAATAAATCAATAATAATAATAATTCGTAATAATAAATCAAATAATAATAAAAAACAAGTAAATAAAAAATAAAAAGTAAAAATAATAATATGAATAAAAATAACAACAAGTCAAATAATAATGATAAATCAAATAACAAAAATAATAATAAATAATAATCCACGGACCTCGCTCTTTAAGGGATTCCGCCCGATTAGTCGCGAGGGCACGTGGCGCGTCCCCAGGTGGTGAATAGGGGAATAAACACCAACCAAAAGCGACCGTGTGCTTCCCACAGAGACAGGTGGATCCAGGGGTGAGCTCCCTGCTTCTGCAGCGCCGACTTGACATAAACTTTATTACTACGAGTCAAGTCGGCCAAAAGCCTGCAATCAAGCGGCTGGGAAGTACATGGGAGGCGGTTAGGAGTCGCCTCCAATAAATAAGCTCCTCCCGCTCCTCCGAGAGAGACTGGCTAGCTAGTGTGAGTACCCAGCCCCCACGTTTAGAGCCTGGCAGGCTATACGTTGGGTATCAAATTGCCAAAAAAGTAACAAATATGGGCCTCATTCCCCTGACGCCGAAAGAGCCCCTGGTACGGCAGCGCCAGGTAGGACAAGTACGGAGAGGCTGCTAAAATCTCAGGGCCAAACTAGGTTGCCAAGATCGAAACGGACTAAAATGACGATGTGTACCTACACTGCAAGAACCCTTGCTCACGAATCCGCTGTAGAAGATCTATTGAATCAAACAAGAAGAAGAAGGTGCGACGTCAATGGCCTTGCTGAGACGAGAATGCGCCATCCTTTTCACGCTGTTTATGACACCATATAAGAACTGTTCCTTGGAACATGCTATAGCAGAGGTGTCGGCGATGTTGGCGTCCTCGTCAAATCGAATTTGACCGTAAACATCGATCCGTTTGAACAACTCACAACCCATATTGGACGATTGCGGTTGAAACGATGTGGTTCTATGCCGGCTTTAACCATCTTCGTTGCTTACGCACCAACATCAACTATGACGAAGACGAAGTCGTTCTAAATGGACCTCGGAAAATTCTTCGGAAAAGATCATACATTCT